AGTATTAAAATATAATATATATGAATTTTATAATTTTTGATTGTATAATTAAGGATTTAAAAATTGTCAAAGTTGAATTTTATAATAAAAATATAGTAAGTGAACTCAAACTTTTGGAAGCAACTATATTTCATATTAATCAAATATTTTTGATATTAATAATATTATTCAAAAATTTGAAATTAAACTAAAATAAACAAAATTTTTCAAAAAACTAAAGTAAAAACTCTAAACGAATATAGATAACTGACAAAGTAAAAAAATAAGTTTTTTTATTATAGAAAATCTCTATAAATAACTTGTTTCAAAAATAAAAAAAATCTTTAAGTATTTTATAACTAGTTTTTTTTTTTAAAAAAAAACTTTTTTGTTATTGATAGCAAATATATTTTCTTGATTCTTTTTGATTATTAAAAGTCAAGTTTTTGATTAAAAAGATTTACAAACAAGAAGAATAAGATAAAGTAACTCTTAAAAATATTTTTCAAGTTGTTTTAAAGAAAGTATTAAGATTTTATTAATCAAAAAGTTAAAAAGCTTTTAGATAAATATCTTTTTATATATAGTTGAAGGGTTGGTGAAAAGAATTTTTTTAGATTTTTTTACTCAATGAATTACTAAGTAATATTTTATTTATGTTCTTTATACAGTATAAATTTTTAAAAATAAAAATCTTTTTAAAATATGATCAATACAAAAAAAAACAGATTTTTGAAAAAACACTTTAATAGTGATTATTTTTTAATAAAAAAATATAACACTTTTAATTTTGAATTATAAAATTCAAAAAATTTAGTTTATTAAAAAAAATCTGAAAAATAAAAATAAAAAAAATAGTTTAAGTTTAAAAACTAAAAACTTTTGTAAGCAACTGTATATAGCATAATAGTTAATTTGTTAAGTGGCTAAAGGCATTTTAATATAATAAAGTTAAAATATACTGTTGAAATCAATAACTATGACAACTGACAAGCGGCATTATAATATTTGTCAAAATTGATGGGTAAAAAAAAAAGAAAAGATATTGATTATTGAAATATTAAAATGTGGTGTTCATAGACAAGAATACAAATTCATCATTGCAAAATAATGTTAAAGATTTCAGGTAACCCACAATGCTAAAAGAATATTTGCGCGCGCCCGATGAAAAAAGTTAACCACCAATTCAAAATAAAACTTCAAATTCCAGCCATTGAACACGTAATGTCATGCTCCTTATATACCATTTTTTCCCTTTTCACAATGCCATTTCAAGATATCCGATATTACCATGTTCAGCCGCCAATTCCCTATCTTGTGTCGACAGCATCTTTTTTTTGTTTCGTCAGCAGCTCTTGACTCTGCTTCCAATTTTCCTCTTCCGCTCGAGCATCGTGTTCTTGGACAATCTTTGGCTTCAGCATCTTCCACGCGCGATTGGTCATAGGCCGTTGAGCAACAGATGCATTGATGAATGCCTCCGTTGTCTCGAGGTAATTGCGAACATATCGTAAATCACCTTCGGCATTTTTCTCTTGAGTCATTTCTTCAATACGATCACGTAGAAATTGTTTACGCTGATTAGAAATTTCCGCGATGTCTCGACTCCTGGCTAAACGTTCTTTCGCCTCAGCGATCTCTCTTTGGCGAACATCTTTCATCAGACGATCACACCTTTCCACCATATCGGTTTTCCATTGTGATAACTGT